TGAAAGTTTTCGATACTCATGATTAATTGTATCATACCAATACATAACGAAATTAATGAATTTTTTCATGACTTAATGCTAACGTTATCATAATCAAGATGTATATAAAGTAACAGTATATAACTAATAACCTATTCTTTTGAAACCATCGATGATTAAGGAGGGTTTGTTTGACTGGCGATGTCCAGAAGGACGAAACCGTTTGATGGCGATTAAATATTGACTCTAATTTGTATAAAAAAAAAGTGCTATTCACTTCTCTAACTAAATTTCTGCTTTATTTTTACATATAACGAGTTAGAAAAGTAAGAATAATCAAATGAATTCTTGTTTCTGGATATTATTGTCAAACAAGAATCATTAACACCAACTAATGTTGCTGTGAATACTGTTTTCTTTTCGAGTATATCTTATTACTGCCATATTCGCAACGAACGGTTTTTTCACAAGACAGTCATATGTGGACATATGTTAACGTTTCGTTATCGTAGACTTACTGTTACACTTGTAACTGGATTGTGATTATTACAGTGCTTACCCACTACCACAGCACCTCACAATCACCAATAAACTAAGTACAACGTAAAAAAAAACAAAAAAAAAAACTGCGCATTTTTTTCTTCTCATCAGTGGAGTATGGATGTCACGTCTCGCGAAAATCAGATTAACACATGTAATATGAACATTATGAATATCTTGTTGCAAAAATAACCTGCATAAGTGTGGTTAATTTTGTTTCTGTAAATGTCATCAGGAAACCACGGTATAAGATTTGTAATGCTACTTGTAATCCATCCCCGATGTTCTGTGCGTTAGTAAAGTATATATATTTGATATAATCTTAAGCTTATTCTGATTTTTTCGAAAAACAAAAACAGAGCCTTGATGCTGACTTTTTAATATTCCAAAATAGGTTCCATGTTTCTAATGTTTAAGAAATGAAGATTATTTTGAAACATTATTTCAGTCAAAACACGTCCAATGATTGCTCGCATCAGCTGAAATCTGTCCAAACATGCCTATCTCTACTGAATAAAAGTAGGAACCCCAAATTGGAGAATGAATTTCTAACGAAAGTTGGTTACATGTTATTGATTTACAACACGTTTCTATAAACTAATATGTCCGTGATCTCTCTCTTCCTCTTTTTTTAGTTTGGTCGTCAATGATTTTTTTGAAAGCTAAGAATGATGAAAACATATTCTAGATACAAGAAAAAAATGCTGAATAGCAAAGCAGATGTAATAGTGCAATGATTTAGCCGGTTGTTTCATTAAAGCAACGATGTTCTCATTTTTATCTTACATAATTCATTATATTGTAAACCTTGTCTTCTGTTTATAACTTGCCACCTTTTCGTTTTTTCCAATCAAGTAGAGAAATATATAGGCGTACATGAAACACACGCTTTAGTTTGTTTCTCCTATTCCGCCCATGCTTTCCTGTATTATGGTCCTGCCTGAAGTTATTATACTTTTAACACCTCTGGGACAGCTGATTTTTCTTTATAATTTTGGTACTCTTTAAAGGTCGCCGTGTACAATATCTATTCGTCCATAGTTTGCCCTCGTTTACCTGATTATTGTGTTTTAGCTTGCCATCAGGTTTTGTTTAACATGTTGATACGTTATTCTTTTGTTTTTATATTTTCTTGCATATTTATTTTAGGATTTACATTCCTCTCGTTTAGTCTTTTCTATTTGATTTATTTGGTTCTCTCCTTGATTCTTCATATATAAGTGTTTTTCTTCTTGCAGGTCATGATTATCACATCGAAACTATTATTCTTGGCAGGGCCACCAGGAAACCACATTGCAATCCCCTGCATTTCAAACATTAGTTGACAATGAAACTTTCAATTATACAAAAACAAGAAATTACAAACAGGGTAAATACATTTTAAGTGAAGCTCACGAGGGCTAGCTATGAATCCGAACATGGAATGAACATGAGATGACACCCATCATGTAACCGTTCCAAGTATTTAGTGTCATGTTCTGAAATAACAGTCAGATTTATAACTACGAAACTACCAAGCATATTAAAGGGAATCAAACATCTAAGTCAATATCACACGGTAGGTAAATCTAAAAATGGCAAGACCAGTCAAATCTCGCCATTTCAAATCCCAACATCAAAATGACAAATATCGAAAAGTGAAATTAAAGAGTTGGTAAATTCATTGTTACCTGTTTTAGGAAAGTCAATTGTTAAATTATAACTAAAAAACCCTTCTTTGGAATAAAGTCATCGAATTTTAACATGAGAATAGTTAATCTATATACTGACTACAGACGTCATATGAAAATCTGACTTTTATTTATGGTATATTGAAATCTACACGATCACTTACCGAATTCTTGTTTAAAAGGGTCACACGGGATTGCAGATTGAGTAAGGGAAACTCTACATTTTCGGGTCTAGTATGTCAACATTGAAACTTGTTCATACTATTTGTTTCCTTTCACATCTAATAAATCTCGGACATGACCACCACTATATAATCCTAAGTTCTAAGCTTTCCAATTGTCCGAGCATTGGAAAAGTTGACTATCATTGGAAAGAACCTAGCCTATTAGAACTGTATGTTTTAAATCACAAATGTACAATGATCTGTAGAAAAACTGTTTACAGAAATTTGAGACTACTCAACTTGCAAAATCGTACTCACATAATGTTTTAGTTACCATTATTAACCAACTTCTGTTGATTTATTTATACAATAACAATAAAACTGTACATCATTTTAAAATCTTTGATTTAAGAACAAAAACAATTTAAAGATCAATTGATATGTTTTGATCAGCTAAACAATTGCCTGACTTACTTTTTTGATACTCTTTGTTGTGTGTAGCAGTATCAGATGTTTGTTGTACCTCCTCATCACATAAAGAAGTTTGCTTAGTCATGATCAGGTGATTTTAATTAATCCTGATCGATTACATTTATGTTATTATTTCTATGAGATACAGATTTTAAAATTTACTTCTAATGAATTTTAGGAGCTTTTAAAACTTAGATTAACCAACATGTACATGTCATATGTAGTCGATGAAGCAGAAGGTGCTTATTCCTCCGAAACGCCTGGTCGTATTGTCCTTGTATTTTTTCAGGATTCTCCTTGTAAAACCTTATATTCACATTCTACTTAATTTGATTGAATTTGAGTAAGGATTATGATTATCCTCACATGTTGGTGTTTTCTTACTCTTTTCGACAGTTTGTACATGTATATAATGGTAATTTCTCACAGAGATTAGCTCAATATAATTCTTCCATAGAACGCAGGTAAAATGTGTCATGTATTCTTACTTTGTAGACAAAATGTACTTGTAATAGTGATATTACATTACAAGAGCAAATAAATACAATAATGTAAAAAAAAAGTATTATCGTATGAATGTTAGCACATATCAACTATAAGATAATAACGAACCACAGTAGCATCATTGTATATGCCTTGAAAGTATCTGTTTTGTGGAAGAATTGTTTTCGTTGTTTTGATTTTGACGTGCCACAAGAAAAATGTTGATATTTCATGTTTTTAATATTCCGAAAATACTTGTGCTTAAATGTACTATTTCATAGTTGTTCTAAGGTTTTAAAAATGTCTGGGATTTCACTGACATATTTTTAATAATTCGATGTGTCCATTTGAGGTATCTGGGAAATACCACACCTTAGGATTTTCCAATTTTTGAATTTTTTCTGTCGTTGAATGTAATTTTACATGTGATAACTAATACTATAAACACAAAAAAAAACATTTCTGAATAGTCATGTCATTGAGTTTATCAGCTTTAGGTTTCTTAGAACTCTGGTAAGCAACTTTTTCATAATGCAAGATTAAAAACCGGGTAAATATAGAAATATTTTTTATCATTTCCTCCATAATGTCATAATACATTTTGTATGCAATAATAACATCAGATCTAATGAGTTCAAAAATCTCCTTATTGCGACCCTGCTATGTTGATCTCAATCTTCATCAGCCTAAAGGTGCTCATTACCATTAAGCTATGTCATAAGCAGGATAAATGCAATGTACTTACGATAAAAGAAACGACGAATGAAAGGTTGTTTCCAAGAAAGATGTTAACCACTGTTGGCAAAAACCAATTTTAAGAGAGATATAGGTCCAAAGATGGGGACTATTGTCGTTTCAATGATATTTTAGAAATCATTGCTTTTGGCGATATGGCATTTGATGTATACATCAATTGTAAATATTCCTGATGGTTTTGATTCCGATTCATCATCTTGTCGATAAAATATTGTCTGTTCTTCAATTTTCCACTCGCATCATTGAGTTTGATTAAGAATGTTTGTTAGAGAAGGGCGTCGCTATTTAATTTCAAAATGAAACAAAATGTCTATTGTAGTTGTGGTTAGGTGTCGCAAAGCTAACCTATTCAATGTTAACTTCTGAAAACAGGGTTCGATTCCTGGAACAAAATTTTAAAAAGGTACGGCGGTCACCTGCTCAACCATGTATGGTTTCCACATTAAAAACCCTTTACGTGCTTCAATCTGGACCAACAAGCGCGATTAATGCATGCTGACATCTTGGTCAGCAGTTAGCAGATTATGTAAATATATCTGAGATTTTAAATTAAAAATTAATTAATAAGACATTGTTATAAATATATTTTATTGACATTGATAAGGATATGTAAACTACAAATTTAGTATTTGCATAATATTAATAGTGATTGTCATATGTACACTGTGTAGAACACTACACTGTGAAGTGAAATGTAAAACATCTGCGCTCAAAGACATGTTCAAGATTATATTCGAGATTTTGGACGGAAGTACTTCAGCACTAGCAGATAAGGTTGAAGGCGTATGTATAACCATATCAGTTGAAATGGTAGTTGATTTGATTGATTTTAAGATTGTCTTCTACTTTACACCATTGTTTAATGGCCTAAAGTATTTTAAAGTTTACCGTTGTACTTAAATGTTAACAACTGAGTCTTCCTGATATTTGAGAAACATCACACTTCTAATTCTGACTCGTTGTCCGTTCCATCCGATTCTTCACACCAGCTATCGTCTGTGTTTGGTTTTTGGAAAACTCTTTTTTGTGAGTCGAGATTTAATTTATTACCGTTAAATGTCTTTGTTAATGTTCTAGTCATCTCCTCTTCTGCTTTCATTCTTTTGAATTTAGTCCTACGATTTTGAAACCATACTTTCACCTGCAAAACACAAAGAAACAAATGCTTAAGGATTTTTTCAAGTATCTAACAAAGTTTAGCTGTGTAGATCATTCATAATCTGACTATAATATCTATTTCAGACATGATACTTAAATCGTTTAACCTGTCACAATGTACTTGTTATTTTTGGTAAAATTGGTTACGTCATTTACAAATGATGCACTTAACATTGCCAAGGTATCGCGCTGAAGTACATTTGACTGGCCCAGTAATTGTCCTATTTATAATTTGTGTTTGAAACCTATCTGAATTATTTGTATCTTATACAAACACTCAGCTCAGTAGTCTACGGGTAATTGTAGAACAAAGAAAAGTCATAGCACATCAAGAGGATGAAAGTAAATTACGTATGATGTTTCTCAATATCCCTAATTGTACAACTTAATATCATCGAAATCCTCACAGATCCTTTTCGATCTGAATCTCCTTTACAATGTTTGAACCTCAATCCTCGGGATATAATTGTCGTTCTGAGACCTTTTTATTGCATAACAGTTCAGCAGTGAACCACTTGGGATCTAGGGATCAGATTCAGCAACTAATACACGTGTTTTTATTGCAGGAGGTCGATGCCAAAACACGTCAAGAGTTATCGATCAGACCGCATTGGGTACACAAACCCCTCTTCAGTTCTACAAAGGGTCCTCTGATTGCATGCACTTTTGGCAGACCAGCGATCCATTGTTGTGAGAGGTCATTAGGCTCCTAATTGTGTTGTGTAAACAATACATAGGTGTTATCGCACCTTTACGCAGGCAATGCTGACTCTGATAAGACTAACTGATGAAGACTCCAAGCTCAGTGGTGGCTGGTATTTTAAGCGTTTCTATACATTTATCCACACAATCAGTTGTCACCAGGACCACAACTGACTGTACAGTCACACAAATGCGTGACTATAGGAGAAAATTGCCTAGGGTAATTTATGGCCGAGGTCAAAGATGGCTCTTCCGATGTGACACTGTATACTAATGGAAACTTCTTTATTTACAAAATTGTGGTGTCGAATACATGTTACAAGATAGTGAACACATGTTGTTTTTATTTCAGTGTTAGAGTAAGTAAGTTGGGGTGGTATTTACGTGCCGTTTCCTGTCAGATTTTATTAATATTTGTAGTGTTAAAAATACATCATGCAAAATTTTGAAATTTACTCTATTTTAGTACAGAAAAAACTTTGGCAGTACATAAATCCTGTAGATTCTGATATATGATCGTCATTTATTTGTATAGCTTTCTTAAATGGCAATGAATATTCCTGTCTCATAAAATAGAAAATAAGAAGAGTTTAAGAAAAAAAAAAAAAAAAAAACGCTGATTGTTTTGCATTTCTCGGATAATAAAATCGATATATTGGAGAGTCTGCATGGAATATATATTTATTATACTTATAGTGTTTCCGTTTTTCAGATGCAGGAACACAAGCTGATACTTCATGTACTTTTCATCCAAAATCTTTCTCATGCTCATTCATTCTATCCTACAGGAGGTGGGAAAGAATATGTCAGCTGTATGTATCGCACAGCATGTCGTTAGACGCGACTTATTAGGGGGCAAGGATTCAGCATTTCCTCTCTGTCCCCATTTCAACACTTGCATCTTATATGTCTTTCTCTATCTTTCTATATTTACTTCTGTTTGCATCACCCTAAATACTCGTCCCCATATAACCCCGGCAATTAGAACCTCAAACTTTGAAAAGAAATATTTTTTTAAGTATTTTAACATATTGCCGTCGATTCTGTGATTGGATATTTTCTTTTATTTTTCTGACCTTATGACCTTATCAGTTGTAATTGTGATTAGTTACATTGTAATACATAAGACAAAGATAAATACGAATACTAATAGCATGATAGAACTAATTACAAGGAGTTCACCAATTTTATTTTTTCAAGCCCGCTTTAAGTGATCGATATCGGAGTATTTGATAGTGATATCAGTATGTTCAATGTATACGCATGCAGTATAATTTGTTACGTGGTCATGAATAAGCAATATATCATACTGTCTTCGAAGGCTTTGATGGCACCGCATGGCCGTTCAATCATGACTCTATCACAAAGTCATTAGGAACAAAACGGAGGAGAATGAACATAAACAGAGGTCAAAGGTTAAATAGATAAAATTTTCACGAAGCAGTATGTAGCTCATTATACCAAACAAAATACACCCGTTGGTCAAGGTTCATAACGATAATCTTCTATAAGTCGAATATATAGTATGAGATATGCAGTTCTTGCCAGGACTGTTTTGACCTTGTGAACTTAAGTATTTACCTGTGTCGGTGTACGCTTGGGTATGAAACTGAAGAGCTTGCTTATCTTTACTAATTGTACGAGATGTATTCACATAACGAGCTAATTAGCTTTGTTAGGGCATGCCTCATTTCGTCCGATCTGATCCAGGCTGGTGTATATATGGGTGCCACATAAATTGTCAATTACACTAGGGGATAACCATCACGACTGACAGCTTGTCTTTATGTGTAGGGGGTAATTCTTACACCTTGTTAGATGTGAATAATAGATCCGGGACAATTTTCGCACCAAACTTACGTACAAAACAAAAGACATTGTTAACGTCATAAGGACGGGAACTGCATTGACATTTATGAATGGGAAGAAACACAAAATACATAAAATGAAGTTGAAAAAATGTCCGATTATGTCGACCTAATGATGAATGTTTATTTGTAAAAAGAGTTAATTTTATACTAGTAGTTTAACCTTAGTTTTTTACGCGTGATCTTAAGATATCTTCACGAATGTGTTTGATCTATAATAAGCATTTACGTTGTACGAGGAATGATTGTTTTTAGAAGAAATATGTCCGACTCGCATTGTTTTATGTGTAACTGCATGTTGTCATATGTTCTTTGATGTCATTCAGGAATATCCTAGTGTACAAAGCGCAAACAGGTGCCCTCTATTCATACAATAATTAAATGTATTTTTTAAGTTCTTGTTTCTGTATTTAATTCGTTTTATGTTTAATAAAGGCTGTTATGTATATGATTTTATCAGTTTTTTTTATTTTAATGCAAAATTATCTCCCTTTGACAGAATCATATTCTATTGAGTTATTTATCGGTATATCTCTCTTTTATAAATTCAAAATATTTTGATAAAATTGTCTAGAATAAAACCATGATGAGGCACTTTTCTGTTCTATACAGTGAGCAGAATACGATACTTTACAAACATTGTTGATATGTAAATAATTAAAAAAAATTATGTGCATGTCTTGCATCGCCTATTGAATTTTGTATCATGTACATGTGGGTCTACTTCTCGGTGATAAACAGGTTTACGTGTGATTTCTTTTTGAAGTCTCCAATTCAACACGTTTACTTGTTTACTAATTATACAACAAAATGCTGTTCAGCAATAAGATAATAATGAGAAATGAGAATGACCTGCAATAAAATTAATTATTTTTTAAGACATTCTTAATGTATTTGTGACTAAAATCGATATATCTTCAACTGCGTAAAATTATTCTGGTATACCAACCGTTATGTCTTTTAGAATATAAAAATAACTAATTTCTAACTGGAGAACACTGAACAGATATCCTTTTTAAACAGACTATTCTAATGTAATGATAATTTATTATAAACTTTTCACGATCTGTTTACATTATTAAGGGTTTTTTTTTTAAATGAGAAGCTATGAAATAATGAATCAACTTGTCCTTTCCATGTTTTCTTGAGCAAAGCAACATTTGGTGATATATTTTCTTTCTTCATGTTTTTTTCTCGATATCATTTTGTTAGAAAATAAAAATTGATATAGGAATACATTTCTCTTGAATTTAGATTTGAATACACATGCATTGGAAATAATTTTTATCGAATTTCTGTTCAATATCACGTTGGCTATACCAAATCCAAAGAAGTTGTTTACGAGGAACTTACGTTATAATCATAAATAAAATATTTTTGAACTTGTCATAAACATGAAGTACACGGCTGCTTATAACATGTTACAAGAACGGTTCATATCTAAACTGAATCTGATTAATTAACAAAATATGTTTCTTCAGAGCATTTATGATAATTATTTTCAATAGAACTGGGTTTTTAATCCCTGTTGTTTATTCCGTATTCTTATATCAGTAATACTGAAAAACGAAATAATTGACAAAGATAAATAAGAATTACAACAGCATAGTTTTAAAATGTTAAACTATAGTAATAGCTGCTAGTATTCAATCACAACTTCTTTAGCGGAGACCAGGCTTGGATGTGATGAAAACTAGGAAAAGATCGATGTTTTCATTTACCACCTCAAGGACTTGTGATATCTTTATTTCTATATTATATAATACAAGATTAGCAATAAATCTAATGAAATTATGAATAATAGCAAATATATACACAAATAACATGTCTCGCTATGTTATTACATGTAAATTAATTAAATATTATTGAATTGCTAATTCTTAATTTTGTATTAACAAATTAATATTTCATTTGATTAAAACGAACTCAGCTATGCCTAAAAACCACACACACACACACACAGAGAGAGAGAGAGAGAGAGAGAGAGAGAGAGAGAGAGAGAGAGAGAGAGAGAGAGAGAGAGAGAGAGAGAGACTTTTAGTAAATCAACTGCCAGGTACTCCGAGTATATACTTGGGGATCTACACTTACTACAAGACTGTTCAACATTATTTTATGTTAAGGATAAGTTTGTTGTCCCGTCACATTTCTGTGTATAATTATATACGTGTTAAAAGTATTTAATACATACACATGTTGTCATATTCAGTTAAAATACTATCTTTTGCCGTTATTTTGAATAGACTTATTCAGTTAAAACAATCAAGTACTTGATTATTCACTGACTTTTTATGATTATTTCAAACAGGCATATTCAGTTACTACAAACACATTGTATTTGATAATACACTGGTGTGTTATTAACGAGTGCGGGAATTCGTACATCAACATAATAGGATATGACTTGTGTATACCACAAGTACTAATATACAAGAAAACTGTTCAATTAGCTTTAAATACTAAAGTAGGTGCATTAGTCATTATCAAGGAACAAAATAGTTCATAGAATATAGAGAACATTGGGATATATTCTTTTATTTTATCCGGATTATATCAAAATAGTTAAATCCGGATTAAAGAGTAGACTATTGAACACTTTCTTCTCAGAATTTACTCGATGGAAGATGACGTGGTGAGAATTATGTTTGAGCAGATAGTTTGCACTTGTATGTACCATGTTCTCTAACAATATGTTTGTGCATGCGTGAGACGAAATTAAGGAGATATTCATAACGAAAAACAACGTTAGAATAAAGGGGTCAGAGGTCAATATTCATACAGAAACTTTAGAAGTTAAAGATTGGCATATTGTGTGCAGCCCGTAAAGGTCCAGTACACTTAATTTCACAGGTAGTGCAATCTATACTCGTGACGTAATTAATGATACAGGTGTACAAATTGGGGCATGCTGAGACTAAATAATTTGAGACACCACCATATTTTTACTCTTAGGTTCTACAATGATAACTATCGATTTTGAAACGGTACTATGAATATTTTTGGGTTTAAATATCTTACATATACTTATATAGTTTCATTTCATACGTTGTATTTTCCAGTGATTATCCAGACACATTGTTCTATTCCATGCATAGTGTAAACATGTGCTAATTACTTACCAACTAAAAAAAGTATTTTTTAATCACACATTTATATCATATATTTTCTAAATCTAATTGATCAAAATTTTGTCTTTCCATGAATTAATTGAATCAGTGTTGTTTCCAGTAATGACATTCGAGAGACATTAAGGTATCCTGTTTGTCCTACATCTTGATAAAAACGTTTGTCAATCCATACCACTCCGTTCTCAATCACGCGACCCAAAGATAAATAACCCCTTGTTTGAGATCTCACTTTTTAGTCTTCAGTGACAGGAGAGCTACATGCCAATGCTAACACTGTTATCATGGTAGCAGATATATTACGGTAATAACTTTAATGTAAACATTTAATCAAATAAACCTATGTGTTTTATGTTATATTACCCGTTTAACTTTGTTTTTTATGTATTCTGGCGAGTATATTTTAACAACAAAACAAACTGAAAATTGCTATAAATTTATTTTCATATCTTATGCATACGTATGCCCTTCGATCGAGATCAGATTTATTTTCAAATATATCAATAATGCAAATTGAGGTATCTTTATTATCTTATATCTATATATCATAGTATGGCTTAAATTTGGAACAAGACTACACATAAAATTGTTATTCACACAAATGAACTGCTTTGTTATATTTTATTGTAGCATTAAGTATGACATTATATAACAGTAATGGCTGTTAGCTTTGAGCCATCATGTTCACTTAATTAAGTGGATCATTAGAAAATGAAAGAAATATCGTATTTATATAATCGAAGATAATTGCTAATTGCAGTTTCATAAGTGTTAAACCGATGTATCATATGTTACTGATGTATTTCGCTATATATCTAAACCTACTAAATATTAAAGATGTCTTTATTACATTTGAAAACAAAATACTGAATTGACATATTATCTGGAATGTATGCATATTTTAAGGGGATGGTTCGCAGCCAGTTGTAAAAAACCCAGCATTACACTGATCCTCAGATGTCGTGGGTGTTACGGAAATAAACTCTTTTAGGTACATTCTGTTTCAAATGCGTTAAAAAAACACTATATAACAACAATCATTGGTACTTTTGTCAGAAAGTATCGGTAAAAATTAGATAGTAATGACTTTGTAGATACATACTTGTGTCTCCGTTAGATGGAGGTCTGAGGCGAGATCTTTCCTCTCCTGTCCTACCACATAATGGTTTTTCTCGAATGCATGTTCCAGGCGCAGAAGCTGTGACGGAGCAAATGCTGTTCGGATCCGTTTCGGTTTTCGGAAACGGGAAAACAACAGGTCTGAATCAATTGTTGGAACTGGAAAAATGCACATTAACAAACGGAATTATTCAAAATGGATCAAATTTATCTAATATTATTTATAAGTGCTCATTTAATATCAAAATCTTTATACATCAAAGGTTAATACATTTGAAAACAAGCACCTGACTTCATACATCAACTATAAAACATGAAGATGTTTACGAGATTCACAGCGAGTTGTGAATATACAAATTTTAAAAATAGCATCATAAAAACTAATCTTACACTTTTATGTTTGATGTGAACACGGTAAAAAGTTTTTTCTTAAATGATAACGATCACCAGAGTATATTATAGGTCTGTAGCTGTAGCTTAGAAATGGTTTAAATGAAATACTTTAACAATTTAAGAATCAGTTAATCGTTGTTCGAATCCAATGCAATATGGTAAATGAAAACACCTTATTCGACCGGTATAAATCAAATTATGTAACTCTCTTGATTTCTTGTTAAATATCAGACCAGATTTCTTTTCTTTGGTTATTATCATGAATATGGAAAAAATTCTATTTCGATGTATTTTCAGCCTTTTAAAAATATTTTGCTAATGTGTGTATCCTATCATATCATTATATCATTTTTTTTTCTCTCTCTCTCTCTCATTTTGTTCGAATTTCTGTTTCATGCATTCCAGAAATTTTCTAGATATAATGCCATGCTGCAGATTTCCCTATTTACGGTAATTTGAATATAGTTGTGTTTTAACCTGTAGATATTTTAATGAGTCATTTTCGAGTGAGAAATATGTATTGAATCCCACGAACGTGTTGATAATAGTTGGTCTGTGACACACAACATTGCAATGCTTTTTATCTTTTCGGTTAGAAATGCTTTCATAAAATTACGACTGCAAAATCGCTCAATAATTGTCACATTTCCAATCTCAAAAAAACCCTATATTAACATGAAAATACACGTATATACTTAAACAAAGCCGAAACCAATACCCTAGTGTTAAATGCAAATGTACTTTATAGGAGTAATCTATAATCTTGTTGTTTCACTCCCCCAGCCTAAGCCTTCTGATGAGACAGTAATCATGTTACTAATTAAATTCATGATCACGCTAATTTTAAAGACCGTCATATTACGAAAGAATAAAAGATCAAATATTTTAACTTGTTGTGTTTAACCGTGACTTTCTAAATCCGATACTTCACTTCTTATACTTCACCAACGTCGTGTTAATGACTTCTCCATGACTAATATAAAGGCTTCATTAAAACATTAAATAAACGCTCTTTAACAGTTCCATATTACTTTGATTTTCGTTCAAGCTGTTTTAATAGCAGGACACTAATCTCTGATGTTCGGCTTTGCTTCGTCAATGTCCAATTATTATACAGTTATTAAACACATTTGAATACATCAAAGATCAAGCTCTTTCATTCCGAGTGCCACACTCGTTATGAATCTGTTACTTTGATGGTGCTTTAACAGTCCAGCGTTTTGTTCAACTTGTTCAATGTCAGAATAAATCATTAGATCCCTTGTAAATGTTTTGTCGATTTCAAGTGGTCGAAACTTTGACAACAAAAAGAACACAAACATTTGATGTTCGATTCAAGCCTATTAATTGATAGGATTATCAGTGTTTGCCTTCCCCTCCAGTGTAAATGATACGGTCAAATAAGGTTGACCAGTGTATTCATATTGGACAAAAGGTCTGGCGGACAAGGGGCAAGAAAGGTCAAACAAGGTGTCTAACTACTGAATTAAAAACCAGTGAGCCCCCTGTGATGACCCAGCATACCACAAATACCATCGAAAAATTCTAAATCGATACATACAAAGTCTCTTTAGATATTTTTTTTGTGTCCAACTTTAAACAAGTATAATTAAGTTCGTTTAAAATGCTGTATATAGTTGCGGAAATTGTTTCCTAAATGTGTCTCCTATATTTGTTGATTGTCGTGGCATTAAATTACTACAGAACCTGTCAACACACTCTGACACTAACACGTAAATGGTTTAATAGTAGGATTTATGTGTGTCGAGGACATCAGTCTCAATTGTCTAATACAATTTTGAAAATAATGATAACGACAATAATTTGTACTCTGAAATAAACTGTGATTTAAGATAATATTTTTTTTTTTTTTCGAATGATATTAATTTAGAAAAATGTTTATAGAATCAAACTGGAAATAGCAATATCTGTAACATAACGTTTGATATATTAAAATATTTCTCATTGGTCATTTGACTTGAAGATACATTGTGATACTGAAATGACAACGTGCTATACTTGTTAAATGTTGGAACACAACCAGAAATATGTTTATCCGCAGACAATAACAAAAATGGATAGTAAACATCTGCATATGATAATAATTGTAGTTTTTATTATTTCATTTTTACACAAGAAGCTCAAACAGTCAGAAAAGATTTTTTTTTTTTTTTTTTTTTTTTTTTTGTTTTTTTGGTTTTTTTTTTTTTTTTTTTTTTTTGTAATTAAATGTAACTAATTTACTTTCCGTTTCAGTTGATAAATAGCAAGTTAAACAGTGAAAGGAAAATTAGGTATTATACATAAATGTTGTGTTTCTGCTCCTACCGAAAAAAACAAGAATGGAGAATATTAGTTGTGGTTATCCAGATGGATTTTAATGATACCAATTTTTTAAGTTTAGATTTTTTTTGACAGGAAACAATTATCTAATGTCAGCTGAAATGTGTATTACATTTGATGAATATTTGCCCTAGTTTATCTAAAATGCTGATATATGTAATAACAAACAGGAGTTAGTTTCTACATTTCTACAAATTATACATAAATATTTGTTAAGCCACAACAATATACTTAATTCAGAATTATCTTTGTACATATCTCTTTAGTAAATGTACACACTGAATATGGTAGCACTTGGTTATCCTTCTGATCTCATCAAAATATTCATTTTAATTTATCATCCTTATAAGGCGATCATATAATAGTACATAGAAAATAAAATAAACATATTTTGAATTTTAACAGCGGGACTATTTCCAACAAGACTGATAATTGTAAGAATAATTATATAGAACGAGGAAAAAAATCAACACAAACATTTAGGTAAAATAACATTATACGCAACATATTTTTTCATACTTTATGCATTTTGTTATTAGAATTTTTATATGTATAATTATAAACCTTCAAGACAACAATTATCAAATTTTACAAAATTAATCTATAGAATAATTCGATTCATCCAAAGAATTTCACTCACCATTAAATGGAGGTAGACTAAGTGACAATTGGTATTGGTATGGATTGAATTCTTCTTCTGTTGGTCTCCATCTATTAGGAAAAGATGTTAAGTTGTCATTGACTCGTGTGCCTACTCCATTGTCCGCAGCACCAAAACATGACATAGGCAGTCCTGTTAATGCACAATATTTCTCATGAAAATGGGGCATTTGGTCATCCCTGAATCTCATAAGCAATGGGGACGGACGCGAAGGGACGGGCAGTGAGGTGGAGGGTTGATGTCCCGAGGGAATCCTCCTGCCCTCAAAACAAGGCAAACACGAACTATCTTCTACACAGGTATGTAGGATGTGTTGCCTGTCATAGGCAGGCTGAGTGTCCTTCTCCCCACCTGAGGTTTCCGATGAGGTGCTCTCCCCCGGGGACGGTGTCCTAAGTTTGTGTGGGACAGTGTCATCCTTTCCCGTCTGTGTTCCACGTCCCAGTAGAGAGTCTATACTAAATCCGTTTGGTCTCTTGGTAGTTACTCCTGCCGCAATCATTGTTGACTAATTGTAATAAATACCAGCGAAAACAGACAAGGCACCGCCGATGGTAATAAAACATATATTGTCGTTAAGTTTACCATGCATTGTAACGTATTGATTCGATTATTAATGCATCTTAATTGCAGTAACACAGCTGTAGCTTCTGTAGCCTTGTAGAATGTTCCCAAACATGAAGAATAGTGATACCAAAGTCTCCCTTACTCTGGTCACATTAACAACCTAACAACATGACACCAACACGTTTACGTCCTGTAAAATGTTTTCTCCAATTCTGTTGTGCATGTAAATTTATTTGATACGAATTCCAGCTTATTGGCCGAGAGAAGTTGTTACAAATGACAGTAGACCGACAATCTCATGCTGTCACGCACACGGTCAAAGGTCACGGGTCAGAGGGCAGTGCTTACCCGGATGACTAGTTCACCCTTTCAACATTAATTTCATATTACGCTGCAAGGAGAAGGCGGATATCTTTAGCAGTATTGGTTTAGTGAATACCAGTTACCTTTACACGTCAAGGGGATATTTATATCTATCTTTAATGTACAAGCAAAAACGCAATACAGTGTCTTTCTTGATATAGTTACTTGTAAACAAATGACCAGCATGTAATCATAATGACGTATTACAAAACATACCTGTCTACCAACATTTATGTACGACTAGGTTAGAGATTGTTTAACTATTTACCAGTCTTTAAACAATTTTCTGTCAATTAAACAAGTGTACGTTAGACGTCTAGCAGCCGATTGGTGGCACTATATCAGGTGCTGGCTAGGTCAACATACCGGTTCACCTACCTATATCAATCTATATGAGTACTCGACATTCAATTTAACTGTGTGATTGATTCATTGGACAGAACGTAAAAGGTGCATGGTTCGGAGATTGATTTTTATGTTCGTGATAATAGTAAATGTACGCTGAAATTACTAATTGGCCCCTTGATTTATTCACTCTGACATAACGTGTATTAATTCGTTAAACCTTGATATAAGATGTTACTTACTGCTATGTTATGAGATATTCCATAGATATTCTACTTTTATTTTCATATTAGAAACAAAGTATATTTAGATAAAAGCCTTGACATGTACTATAATTATTATTTCCTCCAATAATGAAGAGTTACATGATAATATCGGCAATAAATATAATTTCATTCCAAACAATATTGAAACATAGATCACACACTTACACACATATAGCAAATTGCAGTTGATAAAAAGTCAACATGTTAAGTACACGCATACTCGTGCATGTTATAACATTATATCATACCAGAATTGTACGATTCAGCTGTTTGAAATAATCACAAAACATGAATGAGGGATTTTTAATAATCAGAATGTTATATAATAGGAATTGGACGCTATCGAAACATGAAACGCATTTCGAAACTAATTAAAATACAAATGACATAATGCTAAGTTATACAAGGCGACAGTGTTGTAGAATTCTTATAAAGAAAACATTAAGATGTATTCTGTTAACCGTCACTCCCTCGAAATCAAATTTAATCGGTCATCACTAATATAAGGAAATGGGGTGCAATTTTGCTTCAAACTTTCCAAACATTTACAGTTATGATATAAATATCATTTGTTTACTGACAGACTATGTGTATTTTGTTACATCGCTGAAGATGTATATGCATGAGTAGGGTGATGTATGATTGAATGTCTTCACACATACGGCGTTTACTCTCCTAAAATGCATTGTGTTATGTGTATGCGGCTGTCTTTCATGTATTATGCATTTTAATTCCACATATACATGTATTCTTATATAATACATTGTTGTTTTCTATTATATTACATCAGCGTATATTCCCTTGATACTGAACGAGAACTACATTGTCCGATCACAAAGGTACTGGATGACACCAAGCTTACTCCAATGCATTACCAATGACAGAATTGTACGACTCGGGTCCATTATAACTAGCCATTGAATTTATCATGATGATACCGAGAACGTTTTCTGTACACGATTGTTTATGACAACAAAGTCCTCAAAACAATAAATTCTATCACTATTCATTATCATTGTTACGCAACCCGGTCAGGTGTATGAAGCGTATAGGTTTGCAGAAGACCACCGGCTTGGCAGTCTTAGGTTATCTGGGAATATGTCAATCAACCTGACAGCAAGTGCAACTCATCAACGAAGCCTACATATATTTTGATCGAAGAAGAAAATGATGAATGTTCACATATGTACATACATGTATGTGAATAATGCCTTTCTTTTATCGAAATATAAAAGTTTTGAATTAGTAAATGAATCGTATCAGAGAAAGTTACGTTTAAATGACGCGTTGTTTTGTCAGTATTTAATTTATAATTTGTATTATGGTGCAAAAGAAACACGTCCTCTTTCTGTTACACCATCTCGCTACCTTCCTCCTTTCTGTTCACTCATTCACTGATTAACTAACTGTCTGACTGACAGACCAACTGATTTTCTCGCTCGCTTACTGACTCGCTCATTGACCCATTAAATGACTAAATAACTGACTCATTGATTGACTCGAACGCTGACTGACTGATTGTTGACTGACTGACTTACTCACTAAATGACTCACTAAATCAACACTGATTGAGTCGCTCGCCGATTTACTAACTCACTTATAGACTGACTGACTGATTCATTGATTGAATCACTCACTCACTCACTCACTCACTCACCCACCCACCCACCCACTCACTCACTCACTCACTCACTCACTCACTCACTCACTCATTGACTCTCTGATTGACTGACTGGTGGACTGATTGATTTACTGATTGATTGATTGATTGAATTTGACTCGCTTTTTGATTGAATGATTCGCTTTTTGATTGAATGACTCGCTGATTGATTGAATGACTCGCTGACTGACTGGCTGGACTTACAGAACTCACAAACTCATTCTACTCACCCCAATTATTCAAACCCTTCCTACCTCAGTTTAAACTTGGAATATTTTTTTCATTTTTTATTCTGTGTTACAATAAATTACCTCTCCGAAGTTGCAAACGCAACACAATACTCATAAGGCTATTATATTTGAACGATATACTTTTGGAAAAAATCATAACCGGAATCGGTGACGTGGTTTACGTTTTAAAACTTTAAATTATGTTCATAATTGACTTCATCTCTCTAAGTGACCTTTTAGGACCGCAAAATGGTCGAAGTAATGACCATTTGGAAGTAAATCAGGCACAATGATAAGTAACCGACCGATTAACCCGCCACCCGATACGATAATTAAGCCACCATGGAGGAAGCTTTTGTATCCGGCCCTTTCCTAGAACTGATAAGGGATACTTAGGCCAATGAGCCACACTGTGCTTTTCCCGAGGTGATCAAACTCTCTTTCAAATTATTTTTTAAATAAGTGTTTTTTTAATTAGTCATTTATACAAATCAACAGCGAGTTAGAAATGAATCAATCATTTCTCTACATAGAAGGTTTTCAGTGATGTATAGGCAGTAACACGAACATATTTATATATTTAGATAAAGGTTGGAATTACTGCGGTCAGATTAGAGGTAAATATTGATTTCTATAAATATCCATACATCACGTTTGTTTTTGTAATACTTTAATATATATATCACCTATGATATTGTAATTAAATGACATAAAATCAGCGGAAAACTGTTCTATTGTATATATATTTATAAACAATAAATACAACTGTAATTATAATCAAAGAATGTATTAAATGTGTGTTGAAAGATAAATCTCATCAAATAACTACACTAAAAATTACGAAAAAGATGGGAACTGTTTTCGTCTTCTTTCTGACACTTGTGAAGTCCTTAAGAATGGTGTGAATGAGATTGTGTTACCTATAGTAGGTATTAATAAGTAATTTAGATACTCTGGCCAAAGTTACATACCACGTAGAATATAGAGGAGAATAAATGACATCATCGCGAATCCAAAATTCTTGGGAAAATCAACGATTTCTATGCCAAGTGTCACAAGTGTCGAGAATCTTAAGGGCATATAATTTGTCTTGGTAAAACAAAGATGGCCGTTTCTGTTACAAAACCCTTTATGAAGTTACAAACATTGACTATATGTGAATATCTAGTGTTAAATGGCCAATGTGTATATCATATATTATGGAAAAACCCAAAAAATTAACGAGTTAGATATACTGAATCAGTGTTATATGTCTGACGTCTTGCGAACTTTCATTATGGAAATATGTATTCATGTATGCACATTTTCCATATTAATGCAGTCAAGTAATTTCAAAACCCAGAAGTAATTTCATCATTTTATTTTGATACGCGTGTATATCATGGCGGTGAATGTTTTAATCACTATCATTCAATAAATAGTGTTTCAATCCGAACAATTTGGCAATGAATTAATTTCTTGATTATATGTTCTTACCACATATATGTATGTAAAAACATAAAGTCAATCATCAAAAAATCATTCCATATTATCATGAAGTGAATATTAAGATTATATTGTTTTAACATTAATATTCAATTTTTAAAAATATCTTATATTCATATTTCTTAGCATTAAAATTCATTTTAATATTAAGATTTATTGCTTTTAACAATAAGATTAATATATTTTAAAATATATATATTGTTTTAACATAAAGATTCACGCTGTTTTAAAAGTAAAATTATCAATTTCTTAACATGCATATTCTTATTGTTTTAACATTCAAATTTATATAGATTGTTTTGATATTAAGATTTACATTGTTTTAATATCAAAATTCATATTTTAATAACTTTCATATTCATATTGTTTTAATAGTAAGATTTATATTGTTTTTATATTAAAATTTATATTTTATTAACATTAAGTTTCATGTTGTTTTTAATGTCAGGATTTCTGTTGTTTAAAGTTTGAATTTGATAATGACTGACCATTTGAGCTCAAACTTAAGTACATTGTCCATTATTTCTGATTTAATCTAATACTTCTGTGATTAGATCAAGTATCCTGATGCATTAGTAACTGATAT